GTTATTTGATAAATCAAACCCCCTTTAATCTTTTAATCGTATAACGTTATCATCGTTGAGAGACGACTCGGATTGCACATCTTACTACATAATTTTTATGCAATTTGGTTTTTATTAATTTATCCGAGCGCGACACTCGCAATCAAAATTTTGGTGCCATTGTCGGGGATGATGATGTTATTTGATTATATCATTATGTGTTAATTTGATTGCATTGCATATTCTATGTTGCGTTTTACATCTAATGCGTTTTTCATCGAATTAGAATTCTGCATAATTAGCATTTTTCCTTTAGTATAATTGTGTCTACGCATTCTGTTTTAGTAGCCTTTGAATAGCATAGTAGGTAGTCATCTATCCTTGCTTAGTATTACATCATTCAATTCTCTACATTTTGTATTGTGTTTCTGCATTTTTACATTCTGCATTTTAAAATTTGATCGCGAGTGTCGCGCTCGAACAAATTAATAAAAATTGAATTGCATAAAAATTATGCAGTAAGAGGTGCAATTCGAGTCGTTTCCCAACGATGATAACGTTATACGATTATAAAATTAAAAGGGGTTTGATTTATAGAATAACACTAATTAGAATCAAAAGTTAACAAGAATTAAAACTCTAATCCAAGAATTTAGAAGAACTACGACCACTCTATCACCGGATTCCAAGGAGATGCATCAACCAACAAATTAGTGATTAATATTAAATTCGAATGAAACCTCAATTCAAATTAAGCATTCACACGAGAACCCTCATGCATTCGTTTAACACACAATTCACTCAAAGTTCAGAAACCTCTAAAACCTAATCGATTTATGTTAATTTAATTCACCAATGCCATAATCTTAGATCTCAAACCTGAAAATCTAATTCACACTCCTTCAAGAATTAATTATATACATCAACCGAATAATATGTAATCAAACAACTGCACAATTATCAATCCAAACGAAGAACTTCAATTCAAAATCATAATTAGCAAGAGGAGAAAGTAGGAATAGATGAAACCAAATTTGTTGTTGAATAAATTGCAAAACCGATCCTCAAGAGTGTCTCAGCCCTTTTTCAATCCTTGAATTAGATGAAAATCTAAGCCTCCATTAATGGAGGAAAATAACAAGTCGTAAAGGTGAGAGGGGTTGAGAGAGAGAGAGAAGAGAAGAGACGAGAGGAGCCAAAAAAATTAAATTCAAAATTCAAAATTTAAAATTTAAAATTCTGTCTATCCTTTTGTTTCATTTTTTAGGCTATGAAAACGGCCTCTTTTTGGTTCATGGCCTGAAGAACAATTATAGCCTTGGATGTCAGCTTCAAAACGCCACTGGAATTGGCTTAATCGGATGTCTGTGGACTGAGATATGGCCCAAATACTGCACCTTGCTCAGGATCCACGACTGCATCATTTTGAATTTTTCCAGGCCCAGTTTCAGCTTGTTATCATCAGAATTGGTTTCTGATCTCTCATAGGAATTGTGCACCTTTCTCTTAGCTTTCTTACAAATCAAAAATCACAATAAAAGGAGTTCTACAACTCAAGATATGGTCCAGAAACCAAAACAGTATCAGAATTTGTCAAATACTGGAAAAATTAAATAAAGCTCAAATAAAATTCAAACATCATAAAATGATCCAATTCAACCAATTAGGCACAAAAGAGGATTAATGAGCTAGGAATTAGAGGAAATAATGTTATAAAAATCCAATTGATCACTAGGTTTCAGTTTTCGCCTCCTTCCTTGTTCTTTTGAGTTCTCATGGAATTTTTTCATGTATCTAGGGCGAAGCACTACGTGAGGGACATTTTCTACTATTATTTTATGATGGGTCTTCGTTCCAAGGTAAGGAAAGTGATCCCAAACCCTAACTCCTCTTTGGTATTTTTTTTTTAAATTGAAGAGACTAAATTTTCTAATAGATCCTTAATATTTTCCTAAAATCTAAAGTATAAAAGTAGGAAGTTGAGAATGAAAAATCCATGATTATTTTCAGAACCATATGTATATATTTTGCAGAAAAAGCTCTGAAAAGAACTGTTTGAGAATATTCGGATTTTTCTAATTGAGGTCTTGGAATAATAAGGATATTGTGGATGTTGGGTGATGTCAAACCTTAGGATAGACGATTTTGTTAATGTTGAATTATACGATTGGACTAAGCCCAGAGATGTCCAATCTCTGGCACATTGTATTGATCTGTGTGATGTATGGGATTGTGCGAGAATTTTTTTGTGTTGAATGAATATTTTTTTTATGATTGAGGTATATGGAAATTGGTTGAATTAGGTTGTTAATGAAAAGTGATATACTATTCTTGAATGATGATATATTTTGATGCATGAAATGAAATAATGTGAATGATGGTGGAATTGTGAGAAAAGTGATTATAATACGAAAGTTAGAATGGTTTATGGATGTGATTATGATATAGGTATTGTGATACAACCAAGAGGTGTATTCATAATACATATATCATAATATATCAAGTTATGTAGTCCAGACTCATGTATTATAACACGTTGATCTGTGAGAAAGATATAGAAACGAACGAGAAATATTAGCGGTGAGTTTAGATAGCTACAGAGATATACTGGGGTATAGAGTTCGGAGAAGATTTAGAAAATCTTTAGGAAATTAGGGTGGTAAATGCTAAGTGTGAACAAGTGTATAATGATTTATTGAAAGTGTGATAACCATGTCGTAATGGTTTCAAACAAAACTAGATTTTTCAAATAAACATACAATATAGGGAGCAAACCTAGTTCACCTCACAAGGACATGAATTCATTCTATTTTAATTTTTAAACATGCAACGGTGATTAAATTGAGGATTTGTGATTTTCAGATGAATTAAAAAACGAAAGTAATTTAAATGAAAGCGGATTAAAATAATGAACGCGAATTTAAAATTTGAAAACGAATCTAAAACTAAATCTGACAATAAAAATGAATTCAAAATTGAAAACAAAAATTGAATAACAAGAACGATTTGAAAATGAGATCAATTAAGACGAAAACAAACGAAAATAAAAAATGAAAATAAAAAAAAAACAAAAATTGAAAACAAGAACAATTAAAACTAACACGAATTAAACCTACAAACCACAGACGCAAATTAAGATTACTATATCGAATTTGTCCAAAACTCAAATGCAATAGAAACCAATCAATCGATATTACATTCAAGAACAAAAACCAAATTTAATCAAATTATGCATGCACAAATCTTAATCAAGAATTGCAAAAAGATGAAAAGACAAACTCGAAGCGCTCAATTGATCTAGCAATCCACGCTTGAAATGAGATGCTTCACGATAACAAATAATTGAGAACACAGCAGGACCTGAAAAGATGCAAGCAAACGAATGGAACAAAATAAATTTTACTCTCAAAAACGGGAAAGAAGGTCCTTAGAAAATATAAAATTCTCCAACAAAATTATGAAAAGGAAATTAAAACTAAAAAAAATCACTAGGTCCTTGAAAGTAGACCTCTAACCCCTGTAAATACTGATCTTAAAAGAAAACAAAAATAAATGGGTCAAGGCCTCTGCAAAAAATAAAATAAAAGTCCTAAGTAGAAACCCTAAATATAAAAGGTATGTTTTAAGTCTGAACTTCAAAAATTAATAGAAAATAGTTCTGAACTCCAAACAGCATAATCCATACGTCCAAATTAAAGCCCAAAAAGTCAGGAATCCATTGCAAAAAGAATAATCCAAAAAGGAGGTTTGCAGAAAAAGTTATGATCAAAATATTGGACAAAGGTTAGAATAGAGAAAATACGAAATATAAAGTAAAGATAACAAGTTTTCATAAAAACTTCAATTTAATGCAAGAAATGCAAAAATATGCTAAATGCAATAAATAAAGAGAGAAAAAGGTATTTTAGAAGATGTCATAAGGCTATAAATGTGAGTACAAAATATGAATCATCAAAGTGAAAGCATTCACAGGCCACAACTCGTTTCCTGACGGGTCTCCTGAATATACCCTTGCTAAAAGGGGTCAAATTGGCACACGTATATCTGTGTTGCTGCGGCTAACCAACGGCTATCTAAGCTATGAAGTCCTCAAGGGATCCCAGGGGCATTGATTATAAAAATGAAATTAATGCAAAAGTGTGATGTATATGAAATAATATAGAAGTTGTATGATTATAATATATGTATTTTAACATATTGGTTGATGTTATTATGATATATGTGTTGTAAGACATCGACGGGTGCGATGAAGACACATGTATTGTGATATATTGATCGACATGGGATAATACATGTATTATGATGTACCAATTAGTAGAAAGATGCATGTTGAGAAAGTTTCAAATGTGATTGATGGTTTGTGGTGTGTACTCCATTGTGATAGTGATCGATATGATTTAATTGCTATTGTTAATTTAATTCATGTTAGAAAATATTTATAGCATTATATATACATATATGATGATCTCGCTTATGTCAAACAAGAGATTTAGTAGGGCGGAAGATACTCACCTTTACTAATATTTTCAGGTAATAAAAATAAAGAGATAAAGATGTTTGACCCGTCCTAGGATCATAATCTAAGGGTGTTGGAAGGAAGACTACTTTGTTGGGACTGAGATAATTTGAGAAATTGTATTGTTTTATCTAATCATATTTTGCGTTAATCAAATTTTGTAAATGATTTTTAATGTCTGATTTTAAAATTTATAATATTTAGGCCAATTTTGTTGTAATAAATATTTTGGAAATGTCCTTATTAGAAATTCTAAATTTATACGCATTCAATATGAATCAAATGATTTGCTAGAGGTAAAGCTAAGTGTTATTTATTACCTTTAAGTTTGAGAATTATTCCTTTGGAAGTTTTAAATCTTTTTGGAATTTTATAAAACCTTTATAAGGAGAAAATATATAATTTTGTCTTTATTATATTCTTAAATCTATGAATAAGAACAAAATTATTTTCCCATTCGCTATAAAAATTTATCTATTTTGAATGAAGAGAACGAGGATGTTACATGTTGAGCTTTCTCAAATATTTTCTGTCGACATTTGAATATGATGATTTGTTCAAGAAGAAGAAAGATGAAGTTGAAGCTATTGTTACAAGTGAAGAGAAACTGAAGACAAAGATGAGAGAATGTTTGAAGGGGAAGAAGTACCTAATAGTGCTTGATGATATATGGCAAACTCAAGTGTGGAACAACATAAAGGATGTCTTCCTAAATAATGATGATGGCAGCGTTAACAGTATACTGATAACTAGTCATGAAATAGAGGTTGCAAACTACATTGAAACCACATCTCCCTACCACCTTCCTTTCTTTAGTTACGAAGAAAGTTGGCAGCTCTTTTCTAAGAAAGTGTTTCAAGGTAAAGAGTGTCCTTATAATCTCGAGCCTCTCGAAAAATCCATTGTTGAGAGTTACAAGGGCTTGCCACTTGCCATTGTGGTCGTAGCATGACATGTTGCAAAGAAGGAGAAATCACAAAGAGAGTGGACAAGAATCAAGAACATCACTTGACATCTTACTCAAGACATGATGGAAGTCATGTATATACTGAAGCTTAGTTACGACAGCCTACCTCAAAGATTGAAGCCATATTTTCTGTATTTTGGAATCTATCGTGAGGACTATGAGATCAGGGCGAGGGATGTGATCCAAATGTGGACGGCTGAAGGGTTCATTCAACCACATGAAGTTGGAATCCCAAGTGCAGCAAAACCAGAAGATGTTGCAGAGTACTACTTGGATGAGCTAGTGGATTGCAGCTTGGTGCAAGTGGTAAGCAGGAAGAGCGATGATAAATGCTTTCTATACTTGATCCTACATTGCAATTTATGAATGATAATTGAGAGTTTTAAGCTATTCATTGAGAAAATTTACTATTATTAATTTCATTTTATTCATATTTTAGGAAAAAGGATCAAGAAGTGAAAGCCTTAAAGATGTCGAGAATTAAAGAAAAAGAAACCAGAGATATACACAGGCAAGTACATGCCCGTGTATATGAGCGTGTATCTCACTGGTCGCGACAATTGAAGTGTATCATCAAGACCAGAGATGTACACGGCCAGATACACGGCCGTGTACATGAGCGTGTACTTTTATGAAAAGCTTTGAAGGACATCTATTAGAAACCAGAGATGTACACGGCCAAAGTACATGGCCGTGTACTTGGGCGTGTACTTTTACGCGCGTCAGAATTTTAACTTTTGCGAGAACCCTAGGACGATTCCTAGAAAAGGGAAACTTGATACAGAATTGGGGGAGTTTTTGGAGATGAAAGACTCAGAGACGGCAGGAGGATAGAATCAAGCGTTTTAATTCATCTCTTTTGTAATTTTAATTTCAAGATGTTTAGGTTCTAACTTTTCTTTGAGTATCTAGATGTAATGAATCCTAATTGACTAAATTTTCTAGAATTCTTCTAATGCTATTTTATGTTCTTTTCTCTTGGGTTTAATTGAGTAGTATCAATTTGCTTCTATCTTGTTTTCTTGTTTGAATTTGAGTAAAATTCTTGCATGAAATTAACATTGCTCAATTAAAAAGACTTGAATGTATTTCTAGAGATAGAAAGACGTGAGTTTTCTGTATTAGGATTAACCCTAATTATGGAATTCATAATGAATTTAATGCAACCTAGGGGTATTAATTAAGAAAGAGATTCCGATTAATCAACTGAGGGTTAGAAATCATTATTCTTGAGAAAGGTATTGATTTAAATTAGAATTTCCTGCAGCGATAAGGGTTTGGAACTAAGTAGTTGAAGAAGAATTTCAGTTAATTGGACACTTAGAGGGATTTACAGTCTAAATACTTGCCTTTTTCCTTTGAATACCTTTTGTTATAATTTTCTATAATTTATTTTTACAAGAATATTTGTTTCTTTTAAATTATTATTCTTTTACTTTTAGCAATTTCATCAACAAAGTTTATTTTTTATATTTATTAATAATTACGCAATTAAAGAAAAATTTCTTAATAACAGTCCATGTGGATACGACACTTGATACTTTAATTTTAATAATATTACTCCGACAACGGGTACACTTGTCCAGTAATTCAATTTTTACACATCAAGCGGTGAGCGTGTCAAGACAGGACATGTGTCACTATAATAGCAGTATCGCTTACTTTAAAATGATAGATTTTACGCACTTTCATAGTCGATATTGCTATCATTTTTTTCTTATACTATTGTGATGATGACACATGTCAAGTTATACACGTGTATCGATCCAAGATAGCCGATAGTCTATTAAATATTAATAAAAAATACTATCGTCCATGTATGGCTGATATTAGTGCTGACATGACAAAAAAAATGCATCAAATGGGAAATTAGTTTTAAATAAAGCGTATTTAGAGAATTAATTTTTAAAATTATATTATTTAGATAAAAAACCATGACATGTGACATTCAACAAGCAAATATTATTATTTTTAGAGTAAAATTATTGTCTCTACTTTTAAGGCACTAATATTTTAGAGAGACAAAAATTTTATGAGACGTTGATAAGTGAAATAAATTTAAAAAATATTTAAAATTATAAATAAAAAAATTAAGATTATGAATTACAAAATATTTAAAAAATATTTTTTATTAAATATTAATAAAAAAAATATTATCGTCCATGCATGGCTGATATTAGTGCTAACATGACAAAAAAAATGCATCAAACAAAAAATTAGTTTTAAATAAAGCTTATTTTGAGAATTAATTTTTAAAATTTTATTATTTAGATAAAAAAGCTATGACATGTGACATTCAACAAGCAAATATTGTTATTTTTAGAGCAAAATTATTGTCTCTACTTTTAAGGCACTAATATTTTAGAGAGACAAAAGTTTTATGAGACGTTGATAAGTGAAATAAATTTAAAAAATATTTAAAATTATAAATAAAAAAATTAAGATTATGAATTACAAAATATTTAAAATTATGAACTTAAAAATATTTAAGATTATAAATTTAAAAAATATTTAAAATTACTTGTTAGTAATAATTAATATTAAAATTGAAATAAATATCTTACAATTTCTAATAATATTTTTAAAATTCTTAATTTTAATAAGTCAAATAATTATAAATATAATTTTAATTTTTATGCATGTTATGTCAAGTAAAATTATTGCAACTAATATTTTTACTAAAAATTAATGCTACAATTAAAATAAATGTTTTATTATTCTTAATTTTATTTTTTAAATTCATAATATTATTTTAAATTTTTTTAATTTTAATAACTTAATTATTTATAAATTTAATTTATCACAATTTATTTTTTACTAATAACTAATACTAAAATTAAATTAAATTCCTACGATTCTTAATTTTATTTTTTAAAATTTAAAATCTAAAATATTTTTTAATTATTAATTTTAATTATTTTTTAAATTTATAATTTTTAATATTTCTTAAATTAAATACCACGAGTCTTAAATATTTATTTTTTTATATTTTATATTCATAATCTTAAAATTATTTATTATCTAAATTATAAAGACATTTAATAATTTTGAACATGTTATCTTAAACGCATAATAAAACACTGTTTTTATGAAGCAGTAATATTAGTGACTTTCTAGCCTGATTAGTTAAGCGTTAGGAAGCTTCCAAATCCAATGTGCACTTTGTGCTGAAAACACCAATTTCGAAGTACTTCTTAATTCTTCTCAAAGTGAAAATTTTGTGTATATAAATCTGTTTATCAAAACACGCGCTAATTTTCAATAAAAATCAACTACCTCAAGCGCTGCACTTTTTATTCCCCTGTTCAAAACGGCATCGTTTTCATACTGTAATTAAAAAAACAGAGACCAGATGTGAATCGGGAAATGAAATTGAAAGGTATCTTCCGAAGAACGAAACCCTTCTCATCCGTTCGTTCCATTGAAGGGGAACACCGAACCAGTCCATTCTGTCTTCTACATTGAAACTCGCCGTCGTGTAGCTGGCGTTCGACGACGCCGTTTTTGCTTATCTATTTCAGATCCGTACCTTGTCCTTGGGGATTTCATCACTTAATTTGCGTTTTAAATGAGTTGCTGTCGTCCATCATTTTATCACTGAGTCATTCTCCGTCTTATCGAGAATGTGGAGCACAAGCAACAAATCGAGAGCAATGCCAGCGCATCACCACCACCAACCACTGTGCACTCGCACGCACCAGATCGGGTCCCTTCTCCTTGTGGCAGCCACCTTCTTCTTCACGAGACTCTTCGACCACTCCTTCGCCCCTTGCACACTCTCCACCGACGCGGTTCACGTGTCACAATCGAAGCTCCTTGGGCCCCACCGGTGGCCGGAGTCGCAGGTATTCCTCAAGATCTACGTCTACGATCCCGAAGAAATCAACGGCTTGAAGGAACTCATGCACGGAAGGGACGGTAAAATCACTGAACAAGCTTGCCTCAAAGGCCAGTGGGGCACTCAGGTAATTTCATTTCGATTTCACCCGTTCAATTTTCTCTGTTAATCATGCTGCTTAATTGTAATTAATTATTAATTAATGTAATTAATTTATAGGTGAAAATACATAAGTTGCTTCTGCAGTCAAAACTCAGGACACGAAGGAAGGAGGAAGCGGATCTGTTCTTCGTCCCATCGTATGTTAAATGTGTGCGCATGATGGGTGGCCTTAACGACAAAGAAATTAACACCACCTATGTCAAAGTAATTTTTTTTTCATTTCAATTCATTTCCTCAATTGAAATTGCATTACCTTTGTTTTGAACAACTCCGCAGGTCGTAAGCCAAATGCCATATTTTCGAAAATCTGGAGGCCGCAATCACATATTTGTTTTCCCCAGGTAAAAAAGAAGAAAAATCAAGGTTTTATTAGTTACGTGCAATGTTTGGCTTTAAATATCGCTATGGTTGGCTTTTCTATTATTAGTTAAAGAGAAATGCTAGTAACACTCTTAATTATTGGCTAAATTTTATTAAAAATCACAAAAATTTCACTCTTAATTTAATAACTCTTATAATTTTGTAGTTTTCAATAAATTTTAGCCAATAACTGAAAATATGTCAAGAGAGCTTGTTAGAGAGTGTGTTCTTAACACTCTTCTCAGTTAAAACGTTTTCTTGTCAATTCCGTTGTTTTCAGTGGAGCTGGAGCTCACTTGTTCAAATCCTGGGCAACGTACATAAATCGCTCCATTATTCTTACCCCAGAGGTGAACTTTTGCTTTTCATTGTAGTTTATCGGGTTTGTTTGCTTATCAGAAACATTGAAATGATGTTTAGGAACCAAACTGCTTGGTTTGTTAAATTTGGAAAACGGATTTAATTAGGTACAGTGTAAATGTATGTGAAACGATGTGGATGTGGTGATAAGGGAATACTTGAACAAACTGGCATGGCTGTTTCTACAAATTTGCTGTTCGTGTAAAATCATTTATTCACTACTTTTTGTTTTCTTTTTAAGTGAAAATATTGTAAAGGTTTAAATTTGTGCAAGGCATTAAGTGAGTACCTTTTTTAAACTTCATTTTCTGATTCGTGATTTTGATTTTTCTTTTTTTATGTACTAGGGAAAGAGTTATATGCGCACTTAACTGGCCAAAGATTTTGGCTCTAGAAAATTGCATTGTCATTTTGTTTGCCATTGTGAATCAGAATATAGCTTTGAAATAACTAAGAAAAGTAGGGCTGAAATTGCACTTTCTTTTGTGGGTATGGTATTTGATTGTTCAGTGAGCCCACGGTTGATTTGGGTTTCCTAGGTGGCCAGATGCATCCTCAGAAATGACACAATTACCTTTTATTTTCAATACCCGTGGAGTCATTATTTGAAAACATAGTTCTATTCTCTTAAGGGGGTATTTGTTTTGCTGAATTAAAAAATTCCTGGAATTAAGATTGATGGGAATATTGATGTTGATTCCCAGAAATGTTGCGATTACTTCTTGGTGCAATTAAAACATTCTGGGAATGAACTTTTTTTTTTTTCTGAAACTGCCTGTAATTTTTTTTTAGTTGCAAAACCTTCATATTCCCATGAGTGAGAAGATAATGCCTAGATGGATGAAGTTAATATGGGAAGTCCCTGGACTAAAAGTTTGTTCTTTGGCATTTCAACGTAGGGTGATCGGACTGATAAGAGAGATACAAGTGCCTTTAATACTTGGAAAGATATAGTCATTCCAGGTAATATTGATGATGGTATGACTAAAACGGGGGCTACCATTGTCGAGCCTTTGCCGCTGTCAAAACGGAAGTTTTTGGCAAATTATTTAGGACGTGCACAAGGAAAAGCTGGCCGTCTTAAGCTTATAGAGCTTTCAAAGCAATTTCCCGAGAAGGTATGCCATCTTCTGGTCTTGGTTGGTTCTTTAAGTGAAGTTTTCTCGTCAGCAGAATGCTACTCGGTTATATTTTAATTTGAATTCCATTAAATTCAAAATTTATGTATGTTTCAGTAAATGTAATGCTATTGCAACCCTTGTGAAGGCCGAGCGATACCAATTATTATTTACATGAATCCAATTCCAATCCCAATATCTCTGACAGTGTTAGGTTACATGAAAAAGCTCTATTCCCATTTCATGTTGCATAATTATTGATTTCTTAGCAATTTTGTTCTACCAAAATATTTTAATGGGAGAATAATGCAACCTCAATTACAATTGACTCACTCAAAGCACTAGAGATAAACCCACACAAACCAGAAACCCCAAGATGAAGAATTAAAATCCGGTATTTAGAAAGGTAGAAATCACAAGAACAATACCTCTCAGCTCCTAGAACTGTAGGTCCCAAGCCCCAGGATTTTTCCCTCGCAACTCCCCTTTCTGCCCACATTGTCCCATGCAATCCCCTTTTTAATCATTCCCTCTGCTACAACAAATTCTCCATTATGCATAACTGCCTCCTCTGCCCACTGATTGCCACATGTCTTTCTATTTCTTGAGCAAACTCTGCAAATCCTTGGGCCTTGTTTGTGTTGACCGTGTAAATTTTCTCTCATGTCGGTTTGCAGTAACTGAATTATAATAATGCTTATGTTATGCCTGTTCTGGCTATGACGAGTCTTTATTAATAACACTACAACGTTTAAGCGGCATGTATTGATGGTGTAAACAGTTGGAATGTCCAGATTTGAAATTCAGTGGACCTGACAAGCTGGGAAGGAAAGAATATTTTGAACACTTGCGCAATTCCAAGTTTTGCCTTGCTCCACGTGGGGAATCATCGTGGACCCTTCGCTTTTATGAGTCTTTTTTTGTGGTATTTTTCTCTCCCCTCCATATATATATATATATACACGTGCCTACTTTACCCGGTGGGCTTGCCCAGGAAGCAATAACCATATTCCATTTGACAGGAATGTGTTCCAGTTATATTATCAGATCAAATAGAATTGCCATTCCAGAATGTCATCGATTATAGTCAGATATCTATAAAATGGCCATCCAGTAGAGTAGGTCCTGAACTACTGCAGTACCTGGAGTCTATACCAGGTTAAAATATTCTGCCGTTTATCCCAGTTCCAGACACCACTCCTCTTCTTATTTTTAGCTGTAAATATGTTATTTTTGTTTTGTGCAGATGAAGAAATAGAACAAATAATAGCTCGTGGTCGACAAGTTCGGTGCATGTGGGTATATGCTTCAGATGCAGAACCTTGTTCGGCAATGCGTGGAATTATGTGGGAACTGCAGAGGAAACTGAGGCAATTTCACCACTCAGTTGAAACATTTTGGTTGCATAATGGGTCTATTGTAAACAGAAACTTAGTTGAATTTTTCAAATGGGAAGTGCCTATGCCTTTGCCTTGATAAGGTGGGAGATTTTTTTTGTGTGTAAATTGTTTTTTCATATAGTTGTTATTGCAATGCTAATTCTTTACGAGCTCATGTTTCCTTTCCTAAAATGTTTATCTTTATATTTTTTTTAGGATAAAGTTGGAGAATATTATTAATAGTAATAAAAATATTCAAATATAAAAAATATAATTAATAATTTAAAGAAAAATGGTAGTGACCTTTCACATAATAGTTTAAAAAAATTATTAAATTTGATGTATTCATGTCTATCTGAAAATTCCTATTTCATATATATTTGAATTTCATAAGAAAAAGTAGAAGACAACCACCAAGTTAAGATGTTAATATATTCATAATGTTATTTATAATAATAGCTTTAATCTAATTAAGCACTTTCATACAAAATAATTTACAAATTTGAAACTATTAAAGTATAATATTTTTACATCATACCACTATGAAAATGACAAGGTTTGATGCAACTTTTCAATTGTGAAATAATCCAAGTTATCCATTCCAAAAAGAGATAGTAGTGTCGGGGACATTTAATTGTTTTTGGGAAGGAACATCATTACGGTGTAGGTGAGAAAGTTGCTGCATTCGAAGATTTGGGGTTGGAGTCTGATTGTATTGATCAATGTGATTTGAGACATAGTAATCACTCTCTAAGGTTATGTCATGAATGCTTCCTTTTTTCTTTGCTTGGACACTATTCTTGTGGATAAAGTATTTTTTAGCATAATTTTTTGACACAACATATCGTGCAATAATTTTCCAATCTCCCTTACCATATTTCTTGAGCCCCCTCAAGAAATAGCCTATTACAAAAACAAATTAATTTACCCAATGTATTTTATTTTGGATAAGAAAAAATATTAAAAATCCTTTTAATACTTTTTGTTAATATGGTCCGACTACCTTTTAATACCCACACCGATCATGCTAATAAGTTAATAGAAAAAAAAATCATTTAATTAAATATGAATATCCACATGTGTGGATATTTTACTTTAAGTATTATCCATAGACATACCCTTTCTTTCTTGGAACATGAGAGACCTCGTTTGATGATTCGATCTGATGCGGGTGGAAGAACTTTTCATTCCATTGAGTAAACTCTAAGTTGTTTTCACTTTGTTCCTGAGTCGTTTTTCTCTCACTTGATACTTTCTCGGTTGAATCTTGATTTTCTTCCACTCTATTCATGCTACAAGTCTCTGAAAAAAATATACATTGTTAAAAAAAATATACATTTTAAACTATAGGTATTTTAGGGTATTGTTTAATTTTATTTGCAATGTAGGATATTGGTTAATTTTAAAAACTAGGTATTCAAGAAGTACGTATTCGAAGATCTTTTTTAAAAATTTCAAAAGGTTGGTATTCACGTAATAACAAATAATATATATTAAGAAAAATGTAAGTCGTTATTAAATTTTTATGAAAAGTTACATTCTAAAACTATAAAAGCTACTTTCTGTGCATTTAAAAATTTTAAAATCTATGATATCCCGCTGTTATTATTAACTGTTTTTATTAAATTTAAATAACAAGTAATTTCATTTGAAAAATATTTATGTCACATTTTATAATTTTTATTATTTTATCAAATTGAATATTTTATATTATAAAAATATTAAGTTAAATGATAAAAATTATTTATATAGAGGATCAAGAACTACTTTTAAACCCTCTCTAAATTATCTTTCAGGCAGTTGCACTATTGGTGACCGTAAGCTAAATTATGACTATTCTATATGTTTGCCAAAACAAAAAGCATTAAATTTGAAGCGGTTATCCGGTGGTGTTTATACAATTTAAGACCACCTGCCATTGCATAGAAATATAGAATTGAACAAAAGTGTTAGTAACTAAAGCCATTTTCATGATTTTTTTAAATTAATAAATTTAAAATATGTAATGGTTGTTTTACGAGTACCGATAATTTACATGACATATTTCTTTAAATAATAGAAAAAGTTTGTCCTATTTATTAAACTGTAACTATGTAATGGACTAATATATATTTGAATTTAATAAGAAAAAGTTGAAGACAACCACCAGGTTAAGATGTTAATAAATTCTTAACGTTATTTATAATAATAGTTTTAATCCAATTAATCACTTTCATACATAATAATTCACAAATTTAAAATCACTAGAGTATAACATTTTTACACCAAACCACTAAAGATATTAATTCTTCTATGAAAATAATGAGGTTTGATGTAACTTCTCAGTCGTAAAATAATATAAGTTGTCCCATCCAAAAAAAAACCAGTAGTATAAAGAACATTCAATTACGTTAATTTACATATATTTTTTAAACATTAAAGACAATATTTTCTTTTAGTACGAGGTGGTTCTGAATAATAGGAATGTTATTCCTTATTCTTAAATAAATCTCTGTATTCTTTTTTACGATAATTTAAAATTTTTATCTTTAAGAAACTCAATTTTTTAAAATAAAATAATATGTTGAGTGATTATTATATAAAAAAGATTTTTATTTAAAAATTAATAATTAACTAAATTCTCTATTTTTTTACTCTATATTAAACTTTAACCAATAAATGTGAGTTTTGTCCTAATTTATTTAATTATATCTCTTTCTTAATTGTTTTATGTGATTATCCCCTAAGACTTGTATTCTAAAACTTAACTTAGGTTTCCTTGATTTCTATTTTAAATTTGTAAAATAAATTATAGTGAAGGAAGGCAAATAAAGTAAATATTTTTAGTTTTTTTTTTTTCAAAGAATTGAAGGAAAAGGTCAAACTTTCATTCTATTATTCAATTTTACGAAATTGTAGGATATTTAAAATTTTCAAAGGGAGCAATTATAAGATTTAAATTTATAAATATAATGAATATTAAAATTTTCATTTCAAGAATTTTACATAATCCATTATACACACATACAAATTTCAAAAACAAATAATACTATTTTTTAACAGAGTAAATTTCTATAAAAATGAATATAATCTATAATTAAAATAGTTAACTATTAATATTATCAATACACTTCAAATTAATTTTACACCCAGACTTATCAAAGTGTTATAAATTTAAAAATTTATATTTAAAATAATTATATAACCTTATCAATTTAAATAGAAATTTAATAGATATTGTAATTTTTCAGAATATTCTAAATCCTACGGAGCAGTGAGAATGTGACTGTAGATCAAGTCAATCCCCTTTATTTTTTTTTTGAAATTTATTTTCTAAAAATAGTTAGTAAGGGTGAATATTTTTGTCCCACTAAATTTTTGACAGAATAATTTAAATGAAACTGAAAATATTATCTAACATATATATATATATATATATATATATATATATATATAGGTCAATAATAATTATCGCAATTGAGTGGTCGTAACAGGACGATGAAAATATTTTAAAAATTACGAGAGTCGTCACCAAAGTTTATTAAAGAAAACTTTAAAAAAACTTTAAAAAATAATTTTTGAAATAAAAAATGAGTTTGTGAGTCGTTTACGTGTAAATAAGGTATTAGCACCTTATAACGTCCGTTTAAATAACTGTTACCTTTAATTAATTGTTCAAATTTAGTTCAATTTTAAAAATATTTATTGAACCCCAAAACAATAAATGTTGCTATCTTATTTTAGAAAAAAAAATTATTTATTGAATATTATTTGGTATCTTAGTAAAGAGAAAATTTATTTTAAAAATTATTTTGACTCGACGGGTCTGATTCCCGCTCCTACATATACGTAGATGCAATCGGGAACTCAAAGTCACGTAGTTCTATCTAAAAATTGTGAAATTACTTTATTAATCTAAAAATTTATAAGGCTTTAAAGGAAATATTTTAAAAGAAATTGTTTTAAGATTAATTATACTTCTTTTTTTAAAAAAATATACCTTTTAGGATATAAGACAGTGTAACTATACATGTTATCCTACGATAAATGATATGAAAGGCGTAAGAAAATCACACATCCGTATTATAAGTCATTACAAATAATTAAGACAAAATATTTTAATTTGTATAAAAACAGTATTTTTAGTATTTATTTTAATTTAAAATTTGATATTAAAAAATCTAAGACAACGCAAACTATACATAAATCTCTCATGACTTATTTATCAACCAAAGGCAATGTAAATCACATATTGGTATCGTAAAATATTATATGATAAGATAGAAAAATAAATTTAATTTATCAAAGTTAGAAATATAATTATTTATTATTATTATTTTAAACATTAAATTAATTTTTATTTAATAAAGGGATAAACATTTAGAGAGGAGAATAAATTTATATTACTTAGTAAAGATAATTATTTAACAAATATGAGTTATAAATATAGCTTAATTTTAATAATAGCTTTAATGAAGACATATTTAGTGAGTGAAACTTATGGTAACATTGATACACAATTTTTTTATTTTTTTACGATTTATGATATATAATGATAGAGATGCTATATATTAATGTTACACATTGTTATTATTGTGTTAGTTAATAAATTAATTGCTTAATTATTTAAAAATTTTAAAAAAGGAAATTTATATTAATTAAGAAAATAGTTATCCAATCACTTTAAGATGAATTGTAAATTGTTGTATTGATAAAAAAAAACTTTATTTATTTATTTTTTAACTTAATTAACAAAAATATTTGAAAGAGTATAGTTTAAAGGGCGAAATACTTAGTTAACTTAAAAATTAGACATTTTTAACTTAGAAGATTTATATTGCATAAAATCAATGGTAATGTAAGTACACATTAGCCTTAACAACCAATAACACATAAATGTCGAGGAACACTAAACAATAGCATTATAGATTGTAGTGTTAATTAAGTGGATTAATTTAATTTTATGTTTATTTAACAAATTACATTGAATAACATGATATAAAAATACAATATATTTTGATAAATTAATAAAAATAAATAAATAAATAAATATACTTTATTGATTATATAATTAGATGAATATAAATATTGTTTCACTTTTAGATTATTTAATAATTTAAGAGAGAAATTTTTCAAATAAAAAAAACTTTAATCAAATTAAATAAACATATAATTTGTTAATTTTT